ATTTTAACTTCCAATGTTTACATATCAAAATCTATGTGTCATATAGTTGACAGCAAAACAAACATTTTTTTCTATAAACCTTTCAGAGATGCCCATGATATTATTGATAAATGAAAGACCAAGTTGCAGACTATGGACAGGACAGGATCATTCATGAAGCTCATGTACACACACACACACACACACACACACACACACACACACACGGTGGGGAACACTCGCATATCTACAGAAAAAAAGTCTACTTGAAGGTAATCACCAAGTTTTCTGCTTAAAGTTCTTCAGCATTTGTCGACTGACTCTTGAACAGAGCTCCAGATTTTTGTGATGGCTTAGAAGGGCTGCAAGTCTGGCTCCACCATCTCTGCTGCCTGCTCCATTTTCCCAGTCTCTCACTGCCCTCCAGCTAGAAGGGGCCCCTTTCTGTTCCTCAGACACACTAAGCCCTTTCTGTCTCTGCATTTGCCCTTTCACCAGCTACCCACATCCTTGGCTCATTCACGTCTTTCAGGGCTCAGCTTAAATGTCACTTCATCAGTGAGACCTTCTGGACCACTCTTTCTAAAGTGGTCTTCCCAGTTACTCATACCCTCTTAACTCTATTTCCTTCAAGCCCCTTTTCCATTTTGTAGTTGTCATGTTTATCTGTCCAATTGTGTCTTATGGCTCCCCAATAGAATGCTGTACCTCCCACACATGCCAGCCCACCACGCACTTCAATCACTTGCCAAATCACCGGGATGCAGTTGTGGGGAATCTGTCATTCCCTTTCTTTAGGACTTTCAGCCTGGCAAAATCCTTATCACTGTGTACCTGGATTTTCTTCTTTCAGAGTCTAATTTTTAAAACATACTTTACTTTCCTGTCAAAAGAGCTATCCACATAAACAGAGACAATAGCATGTTACAAATTATCATTAATTCAACCTCTACCTGAAAAGCAGGGGATGAGTCAACTTCACACAAACTTCCATACAAATGATAACAGAAGGCAAATAAAGAAAAAGCTAGTTTGAAATGACAATGTAATGTATATGTATGAAATCATGCATGTGATCATAGGTGTATAAACACTGCATACTCTTCAATATCCACACACATTTAAGATAATAATCCTAGACACAGCAGTTTTACATGACAGTGGGGAGCTTTCTAGTATTTACCATCTCTTCTGGTATCTGACATACACCTGGCAATTTGGACATTTGTGGAATGAAGGAATGAGTCTACTTCTTCCCAGTTCCTGTGATCCTGGCATATTCAAACTCATTCTTCTAGAGGCCTTCCCATGGCTCTCAAAGAGGAGCTGGGTTGTGGGAACCAATGTGCTTACTATTGTAAGTAATAATCCTCAACCCTTTACCCGGCAACTTTATGTCATTACCCCCTTTCCTCAGAATGGGACGGTGGTACAGAATGAGCCACTCTGAATCACTTATATAAGCTTAATAAAATTTCCTACAACTATGATTTCAGTATAGAGACTCAAATTTTCTGCTCAATCATGTGACTATCCATTCAGCCATATTATCTATATGTCTCAGAAACTGAAACGCAAGGTGGGAGCACTAGACAAATCTTATTATTATATCATATATAAAATTATGATTATATATGCTATATATACACATTATATGAGAGAGGGAGAGGGAGAGGGAGAGAGAGGAAGAGAGAGAGAGAGAGAGAGAGAGAGAGAGAGAGAGAGAGAGAGAGAATCTCCCTGAAGCCCCAGCCTGCCTGGAACTTGCTACATAGACCAGGCTGACTTTGATTTCAACAGCAATCCATCTGCCTCTGCCTCCTGAAGGCTGAGATTAAAGGCATGTACTACCATGCTCGGCAATAATATGTCATTATTTTAAATCTCTTGGTTTTTGAAGATAGGGACTTACTATGCAGCCCAGGCTCTCCTGGGAACTCACTGTATAGCCCAGGCTGGTCTGGAACTTGAGATCCTCTTGCCTCAGCCTCCCAAGTGCTCGGATTACAGGTGTGAGACACCACACCTGATTTAAGAACAAGGGGCTGAGGAGATGGCTCAGTTGGTTAAGTGCTTCCTATGCAAGCATGAGGACCTGAATTTAGATTTCTAGTATCAACATTCCAAAAAAAAAAAAGCTCCAGGTGCAACAGTACACACCTGTAATCTTAGCACTGGGGAGGCAGAGACAGGTAGGTGGATCTTTAGAGTTCCCTGGCCAGCTGAATTGAATTGATAAGCTCTAGGTTTATTGAGACTCCGTCTCAAATAATATGGTGGCGAGCAACTGAGGAAGACTTTTGATATCCACTTCTAGACTCTACTCACATGTGCATATACATGTACAAGCGTTCATACACACAGGTACACACCCACACAAAGACACCACACACATAACACACACACAAATGAAACTATGATATGAAAGCAAAAAGCCTTTTTACTTTCTGTAACAAACAGAATGTCTAAGGAGGCAGCTGCAGTTCACTGTGACAACTGTGAATGCTTTAAAAGCCTAACTTAAAAAGAAAAAAAAAATCTGTGATGAGAGGGAAAAGTTCATGAACTACCAGGTTAAAATATGGAATTTCCCTAAGGAATGAATAGGTTTCAAGCTCAGTGGTAGAGTGCTAGCATACAAAAGATTGTGGGTCCCATCCCCAGGAAAACACACACACACACACAAATTAATTAAAAAAAAATCACTTGCTTAAAAACTTTTGCCAGGCATGGTTCATGCCTATAATCTTAGCACAGGATGATTGCCCAAGTTTGAGGCCTGCCTGGTCTGCACGGTGAGTTCCAGGTCAGTCAGAGCTACATAGTGAGACCAGATTTCAACAGCGATCATCAGTAGCTAAAAGTGTGATAAATAGCACAGGAATAAAACATGTGCCCTAAGTACATGGATAGAACATTTCCTATGATGTATTCTGCACAAAAACCTGATCTCAAATCTGATGAACAGAAGTGACAGGGCTACCAGTTCACAGGATACAGGAGGGAAAGGAGGCTACGTGGAATAAAGGGAATAAAGGCAGCAAATTCTATGAGAACATCGATAGAACAAATGGCCTGGCTTCTTCAGTAAGCAAATCACAAAGAAAACAAAAGAGAGGGAGAAAAAAACCTATAGAACAAAAAGATTAAAAACAGACACCAGTCAAAATGCAGTGTGTGGCTGTGTTTGCTTCTCAATTCCAGCAACGATGCTAGGAAAGACGATGAGGAAATCCAGCATCGAAAAATTGACACTAAGAGCATTCTCAAATATAGTAAGGTATTTGTGTAATGATATTTGGATGTGTATGTGTGTAGGTGTGTGTAATGTGTGTTGTGTGTGCATGTGCACATGTTGGCCCAAAGTTGATGTTCGGTGTCTTTTTCAATTACTCTCCACTTTTTTTAAGGTCTGTTTTATTTTTATTTATGTGTATGTGTCTGCACAGCGTTCAGATGCATGTGCAGGCCAGAAGAGGGCATTTGGAGTCCCTAGAGCTGGAGTTGTGGTGGTTGTGAGCCATCCAATGTGCGTTCTGGGAAATGAACTCCAGTCCTCTGTAGGAGCAGCAAGCACTCTTAACCCCTGCTCCATCTCTCCACCCTCCAGTTTATTTATGGAGCCATGGTCTCTCAATGAACCCGCTGTTCACAAATTCCAGCTAGTCTAGGTAAGCAGCTTGCCCTGGGGATTCCATCTCCACCTCCCAAGGTTGTGGGAGCTGCCATACCTTCCCAGAAATACATGGGCTCTGGGGACCCAGACAGTAGTTATCACACCCAAGCACAAGTAGTCTATCCACTGAGCCACCTCCCAGCCCCTACAATGGCTTATTTATATTCTAGCCATGTGTGGTGGCAACCACCTTTAGTCCCAGCACTCAGGAGGCAGAGGCAGGCAGATCTTTGTGAGATCAAGGCAGCCTGATCTACTCAGCAAGTTCTAGACCAGCTGGGGCTACAGGGAGACCCTGTCTAAAAAAATTATATTCTAATATTTTAGAGATGCATCCTAAAATATTTACAGACACAGTGATACATCTAACATTTCAACCACACATTATCTGTGGAGGAGTACAGGGATGGGTGTAAGGTGACTGGGATTTCAATGGATGATGGGTTCATGGACCTTCATCATACTATACTGTCTAATGTATATTTAAATTTCTCCATAGCCAAATGCTAAAACGGGGAGAAGGAGGCAGAGAGAGAAAGAGGTTTCAGTCAATCACTGTATTACACATCAAAACACATCCATAGTAGCCTCCTGTAGTCCTAGCAACTTGGGAAGCTGAGACAGGAAGATCTCTTGAGCCCATGAGTTTGAAGCCAGCTTGAGCAACCTAGCAAGACCCTGTCAGAAAACAAAATTAAAGACAAAACCTTCATAGTCATGTCATATCCCACATAGTCTAACAGTTCCATCAGTATTACCCTAGATATTTAATAAAATGCAGATGTCCAGGCTTTGCCCTAGATCCACTATCCAATAACTCTTTTCACACACTTAAGTTCCTTATATAATTAACTCATTATTTAATTCAAATGAAAGTTTGAGAACCATGGGCTGGGCATTTTGTGTCAGGCTTTACTTTGTAGTTCCTACGGGAGAAAATCAAAGAATAGAGATAAACTAACTGGTCAGAGTTCACTGTGAAACCCAGATAGAACTGCAGTCTTTCAAATCTTGACTTTCCAGTTTGCTTTTCAAGAACCAACTCAGCAACATGGCCTCATGTAAAATATATTATCACTAGCTTTTAAAACTTTGGTTCAGATTCCACCAGAACTAATTTACCCTTTTAACCCTTGAAGATTAACACACACACACACACACACACACACACACACAGAGTCCACTATAAGATATCTTAAAAAGAGGTCTGTCAGGTTGTAAGAGATAGCTTGGCATTCTGATAAAAGTGGAGGTGTTTATGGCCAAATCTCTGGGATTTGGCTGAAAATTGAAGGCCCATTTTCATTTGCTAAAGCCTTAACATAGGAATGTAGTTGGGAGTCACCTGCATGCTGTGGGTGAAGATCAAGTGTCAAGGGCCATGTCCTTTTCCATGGTGAGGGTTCTGGAGGCCAATTTTTTTTTCTAACCAAAGAGGTCATTGGTTGGGCTTTGTGGCTTCAGTGTCTCAGAGTTCCCCTTGTTTGCAAAGACGTCCTTGGCTTCCATGCTTGGTAATGGTCTCAGTAGGTAACCAGAGAAAGTACGAGTTGGGTACTTTTTCTGTATCCAAAATGGCTACATTAATATTCCTCTCCTTTTTGGTACTAACCCAAGTGCTCTGATTTTGAGTTAAGGAGGACTAAAGGAGAGATGCACAGGTCTTGGATGAGCACAGCCCAGTGCTGGAGATCGACCCCAAGGCTTTATGCATGCTTGGCAAATTCTCTGGCACTGAGGCCAATCTCAGTTGGAGCATTCTAGTAGAGAAAATCTGAAATGTACACAAGTTGGGAGAATTTTACAGTAAGTAATCACATTCACCACCTAGAAGCTGGCATTTCACTGCACTTGCTCTCCAGGACATTTTTAAATACCTCACCATCTATCTACCAATTCATCTTTTTTGTTGGTTCTTTTGTTGAGATTACGGGTAAAGCCACAACCACACATGTGGTTTTTCTTATCTTTTTCTTTTAAAATGCATGTCAAAGTAAGACTCAAAGATCAAGATCAGTTCCTCCCCATCACTATGAGACAACATGCCTATCATTTAACTAGATTTCAATATGTATTTACAGATTCCTTTTTTGTTTTTTTTTGGAGATAGGAGGAAAAATGTACATATCACATACATAAACAAATACTAAGCAACCATTCAGTGACCTTTTGACAAATGTACAAAACCTGTAAAGATACAAGTTACTACCAACAAGCTGGGCATCATGGCTCACACCTGTAGTCCCAGCACTTGGGAGGCAGAGGTAGGCAGATCTCTGTGAGTTCAAGGCCACCCTGGTCTAATAGTGAGTTCTAGGCCAGCTGGGGCTACAGAGAGACCCTGTTTCAAAAAGACTGAAAACAAAAAAATCCCCAAAACAAAAAAACAAGCTACTACCAACATTCTAAAAGGTTCTCTCTGCTCCCTTCCCAGCAAATTCCCACCTTACCCTATACCTATAGAAGCTGGGCTCTGATGCTGTCACAGTACTGGGTGAGGTCAGGGACTAGAATCACTGTAACATTTCCCCAGTATAATATCTTAGGTCAGAGAGAGATTAATTCTTTTTCTCAGATCACATTAACATGACATGAAACAAAAACTTGAGCCCCTAAGCAGTTACTTTAATGCTTTCCCCACTTGACTATGGACCACATTTTCATTTCAAAACTTCTAAGTTAAACTGAAATGAAATTCATGACTTCTGATTCTAAGCAAGTAGACAATTTTTCCATAACCTTTTATCAAGGCAAACTTACAAGAATTGCTAGTACAGAGGAAAATAATCATGAATGCATTTTAAAAGAGACTAAAAATAATTCACATAGGAAATGCAATTATGCTTAATTACATTGGCTGATAATATTCACCCTGCAATCTTAAAAACAAGTGTTTGAAACATGCTCTAGGCAAGGAAAAGCCCTAGCAGATTATACAACTAAAAAGCATATATTTGCTTAATATCTGAATTTTTATAATGCCAAATCGAATACAACCCAAATTTCAAAAATTAATGACTATTATTTCTTAGGCATGCAAGAAAAGCAGTAAGAATATCAAGGATATCCTCAGGATATGAGAAAACTACCAACAAACACCATCTTTTTATTTGTGTAATAACTGCTGTCATTCTTTTTGTAAGCAGCAATCAGAAGATGTCAAACAAATTCTGCCTTTGCTGTGAGTACTGATAGATGCCTCTGCTTGTTTTTATTAAAAACAAAACAAAACAAAACAAAAATGTTCCCTCCAGTAATTACCAACCCTGGCGAAGTGGGGGCACTGCTGGGATGTTCAGCAGCCTCTGGGCAGGCGGAGATGCAGCAGAGAAAACCACAGAGCAAACGTGAGTGCCGGAACACATTTTTCTTTGGCTCCCTTGGGGATCCTGTGACTCAGAGTCTTAGGTTCCCTTAAAGGGAAAAGCAGAGGTCTGCATGGGGGCAGGGTGGGATCATGTTTATCAGTCACAACAGTTCATCTGGGCCTGGGTCCAGGTAGTCTGCATGTCTAAATTTGATGAAATATAGGCGCCACCAGGTAACAGTAGTGGTCACGGAGCTTGCCAGAAACCTGTAACTCAAAACTAAAAAATGAAATTAAAAGACTACTTAGGCAGGCAATTTCTTTCTTCGGGATGCAATAACTGCAAACTACAAAGTGGAAAGAATAGACAATGCTTTGTGTGTTTTAAAGGTTTCTTCTTCTTAATGTGATACAACATCCAGGCCAGAAAAATATACACAAATATTTTCAAACTTGCATTTCAATATGGAACTGTAATGTGTCAGCAGACCTGCTTTCCTCTTCCTCCTTTCCTTACCACATTCTGGACAGTTCCGCCTGGGGCAGGGAGTAGAGGCCGGGAAGGTCTTGGGTGTATCCGGAGGGCAGGTACATGGGGCAGTGGTGAAGGAGCAGCAGCCTGACCCTGTCCTGTCAATAAGCCTTAACCCCGACCCTTGGGCCCCTGAGCTGCCTCTTCTCTGTCTAGCCTCTTCCCTAATTGCTCTAAAAATGACTCTTCATTTAAAAGTACCTTTGTGTAAACACCCCACAGGAACTGACAGTCATCAGAATTACCACTCAGTTCTAGTTTTTAAGAAATACAAGGAAAGTCTTTCATTACGGTAGGACTCTGAAAAACAATTTCAACTGCTGTGCAAAACAATACTCAGGCTCTTTTAGCTTACTCTGCAGGTGACATTAATTTTGACTTTTAAGACTGTTTACAATGAAACATTAAATCTTTTGATTAAGTTATTTGAGAGCAAAGATGTAGTGATTTCCCACCCTCTGCAAGAAACAGACTGCTTTCCTTCTAAGCATCCCATAGGGTGAAGTCCTCTGCCTCATTCCATTCTATGAGGCCTCCCTAGAAATTCTAAAAGGATCCACATCATTTTTACCTACATGTGAAAATGCAAACAAAACATTCAAACAGAGAGTTAAGAAGTCCTGAGGTAAAAGTTTATATCGTTGTTGTTTGAGACAGCAGCTCATGAAACCCTGGCTAGCCTCAAATTTGCTATGTAGCTGAAGATGACCTTAAACTTCCGGTTCTCCTGCCTCTGCCTCCTAAATACTGGAATTACATGCATGTTCCACACTTAGTTTATATGGTGTGAGGAGGGACTGTACCCAGAGCTTGGTGCATGATAGGCAATTACTTTAGCAACTGAACTACATCTCCAAGCCCTTGTTTTGATTTTTAAAATATTATTATTGTGTATATGTGCATATTGATATGTGTGAGTGCAGGCAGACAGGCATGTGCCACAGTCAGAGGATAACTTTCAGAGTCAGTTCTGTCCTTCCACCATGGGTTCTGGGGCTCAGACTCAGGTCATCAGGCTTGTGTAGCAAATGCTTTTATCCATTGAGTTATCTCACCAACCCTGCTGCTGTTTTATATAATAAGATCAATTTGACCTTGCAGACAAGAAAATACTTTTTTACAGCTTGTGGCTTCATATATATGTGCAAAGATTTATGTCAACATAATTTTCTTTTTATTCCCTGCAAGCAGTTCCCAGAGTCACTGAATTATTATTTTCCCAATGACAAGACAGGAAAGCCATTTGTTGTCAATTTTATGAAAGGAAACCAGACCTGATATTTTCAAATCCCAAGTTATCATTCTGATTGAGTATAGGCTAATTTCTGCCATTTAAAATGATTTATTTAAATAGCTCAAATTAAATAATTCTCTCTAGAGGTTTTGTTGTTGTTTTTGAGGCACTGGGGATTGCCCATGCTAAGTACATGCTCTATTACTGACCTATGTCCCCAGTGCTCTTTTAATTTTTATTTTAAGAGGATCTCACTAAGTTGCTCAGGCTGGCCTTGAATTCACTCAAGCCTAGGTAGGTAGGCCTTGAGCTTGTAACCTTCCTGCTTGCCTCCCATGAAGCTGTGATTACATGCCCCTACTATGAGGCCTAGCTCTCTGTGTATTACTAATACTGAAAAAGTAAAAGAAAGTCTCCTTTGCTGTTCTATTTTTTTCCACAGTACTTACCACTTTTAAAAATACTTAGTACATTTGTTGATTGTCTGTCAATGCAGGCTTGTCAAAGGTAGAACTTTTTGTCTATGTTGCTGTACTATAGATGACTACAGCAGTGTCTGGTTCAATAAGTGGTTTTAGAATTAACAAGTAAATGGTTGGATACATTTAGTGAACACTCTTATTAAATAGGCTGTCTATCTATTTCTACTTATCTAGCTTACCCTGCATTTCAGTATACAATAAGCTGTCTTACGGTGGGCATGAAAGAAGACTGCCTATGCTTTAGCTGTTTTAATCAGCTACCCCCAATTCTTTTCCTCTCTCTCCGATAACAGTAAAATTGTATGGAGGAAAAGTCTTATATTTCAGAACTGAAGTGGATCTTAGAATTTACATAAATCTGAGGCCCATGGGCTGGTCAGATGGCTCAATGGGTAAAGGCACCTGCCACCAAGTCTCATAGTTTATCTCCAGGTCCCACATGGCGAAAAAAGAAAAGAAGAGAAAAAGAAACCAACCAACCAGAGATCAAGTGTTCTGTTGAACGTGCAGACCCTTGGGCCCTACCCTACACCTACTGCCCTAGAATGCCTATGTTCAAGTAGTCTATAGTCTAGAATGTATACCATAGTAAACCAATTAACTAACAGTTATAATATAGCATGAGAGCTGTCATCAGGATGATAATGGAAGCCAATACTGGTACTATGAGTCAAATGATACCTGAGGTGAGTTTTAAGAATGTGCAGAAGTTAGTGCTAGAGGAAGATTAGTAGCGGTGTGTGCACGTCACACATAGAGCACAGATCAATAGGCATTAAGGCTTGAGCAAACAGGATCCACCACAAAATCAGAGATTATTCTGGGGGTCAAAATATGAACACACTGTTTGTTGAAGGCTTGGTCATCAACCTGTGGTACTATTTGGGGGTAGTGGAACCTCTAAGAGGTAGGAGCCTGGGGGAAAAATATTTGGTTATTGAGGGAGTGTTCTTTGTGGGATGTTGGAACCCTACCCCTTTCTATCACCACTGTAAGGTGAGCAGCTTTCCTCCACCATAATGCTCCTCACAATGATGTTCTGTCTCAAAAGCAGGTTCAAAAGCCATGAAGCCAATCAGCCATAGCCTGAAACTTCCGAAGCCATGAGCAAAAATAAACCTTCCCTCCTTTTCAGGTGATTTATCTCAGGTATTTGTTACAGTAATGGGAAGCTGACTAACAGGAGGGCTTTGTGTTCTAAAATCAGGAGTTTCAATTC